CAGAACTCGTCTCCTGCTGCAGCAGTGCAAACATGTGGCTGCCTAAAGGACTGGGAAAGAGTCCATTCCAGAAAGAAATGCCATCGTCATAGTCAAGTGATGGGTTTGGGTTTCTTTAAAAAAATTAATTTGTTTTCTTTTGTTTCCACATTTTCATCCCTTCTCCCCTCCCCTAGCCCACCCAGCAATGAACCTCTTGTTCCAGGTTATTGTCATAGGTATAAAGCCTAATCGTATATTCCTTTCTGGCAGTTCTTCCCTTCACCTGTCCTACTGCAGTGTCCATTATCTATCCACTCTTTCCCTTTCTTTTCCTGCCCCATTCCCCATCGGTCCTATTTGGTGGTGTTGTATGGTATTTGTCCTTTTGTGACTGAGATATATCACTCAGCATAATGTCCTTCAGACTCTCCCATGTTGTTTAATGCTTTATGAGTTTGATGTTCTTCAATGCTGCATTATATTCCATTGACTGTACCATAGTTTTTCCACCCATTTATTTTTTGTTAGGAATTTGAGGTGCTTCCATCTCTTTGCTTTTGTGAATAACACAGCAGTAAACATGGGTGTTTATACTTCTGTTTGAGTTGTGACTCTGGTTTATTTAGAGTATATCCAGTCAAATAGTGTTTTCAATTTAAATATTGCTTGTTTTGTAGTTTTGTTTGCATTTAATTTGTGAACTGGCAATGGTCTCTAGATTTTAAATTTGTGGATTAACTTTTGGTAATAGTATATTTCATCTTTCTGTCTATTCTATCTTGCACATCCATAAAACAACCATTATTTACCTCATTTCCAAGGTGTGAGAAGTTTAGAAAATTTGCAACAGAGGATATACATACTCTCTCCTCACTTGCTGATGTTAGATTCCAAAGACCAAGTCATAATGTGAAAATTGTCACTTGCCAATTTGAAAATGGAGGATGACTACATCCTTGTGTAACTGCCAAGTTACACATTTACATAATTATGAAATTATATCATTACATAACTGCCAAACCACAGAGAATCATGACCCAGCTGAACTGACATATAACCTACACAGCTGATGTTGTTACTGTCAGGGTCAACTGGGTGTGCAGGGAATGTTGCCAACCCAGAGGCCATTTATTGTTGGAGGTTTGAACCCAACAGTGGTTCTGCTGGTGAAAGATGGGCACTTACATCCCATGCAATTTCATCTTCAGACATATAGTGGAAGGTCAGCTATAGAGTAAGTGAGTGGGCATATGATTATTTGGAGCCTTTAGGAATATATTTAACTTCTCTGAGCTGCTGTCTCATTAGCTTTAAAATGAGGAGACTAATACCTACCTCACAGGGATATTTTGAGGAAAGAATCAAATAATGCCAATTGAGGGTCCGGTGAGAGACGCTCTGGTAGAGCAGTGGTTATAGTGCTCAAATGTTAACCAGAGATTGGTGGTTCAAACTCACCAACCAGTCTGTAGGGTTGCTGTTAGTTAGAATTGACATGACAGTAGTGGTTTTGATTTGGTGTTTTTGGAAGGGCTAATTATGGTATCAGCTGTTGTGCCTTTTTAACACAGGACACAGGACAGAGGGCCCAAGGGCCAGAGAAAGGAGTTCGAAGTGTGAAGTGAAGTGATTTTACACGTTGTTGCTATGAGTTGCCTGCTAGAGGCACTTAACAACAACAACATTGTTGTTGTGTGCCTCGAGCTGGAACTGACCCATAGCTGAGTCTCCAGCAGATGTTTAGAGACAGTAATTTGCACAGGAGGAGACTGTGCGTTCTTCTCCCACAGAGCAGCTGGTGGATTCAAACCATGTGCCTTTGGGATTGCAGTGCAGCTTCTTCTTTTTTTTTCCAGTGCAGCTTCTTATCAGTAGGCTACCAGAGCTCATTGCAAATACATCATGCTTCATTTTCACTGCATTTGTTTCTATTCTTTATCATATGAATACTGCTAAAAGGTAATCTTAGTTATTATAATGAGTTATCATGGCCTAATTTTATTGGTAAGGAGTTTCACTGCCAACTCAAAGGCAGATGGTTTAAATCCACCAACTATCCCACAGGGGAAAGAGACAATCTCCTCCTATGCAGTTTACAGCCTCTGAAAACCTGCTGAAGGGTCATCTCTGAGTAGATTCCAACTCACTGACATTGAGCTTGAGTTTTTCTGAGTTATTTATGGTAAAACTTTTTGTTTCTAATACTAAATTTAATGTCATTGAGTAAAATATTTATTTCTTCATTGAGAATTCCAGGACATTTCATTGTGCTTATATGAAACCTATACTTGGACCAAGAGGTAGTTCATCAGAACAGAGCAAGGAGACACTGCATGGTTCAGAATTGGGAAGGGTGTCCTCCAGGGATGAATTCTGTCTTCATACCTTTTCAGTCTGTATGTAGAACAGATCATCTGGGAGGCTGGGCTGTGTGAGGAGGAATGTGGCATCAGGATTGGAAGAAGACTCATCAACAACCTGCATTATGCAAATGACACAACTGTGCCTGCTAAAACGGAATAGGACCTGAAGCGCTTCCTGCAGAAGGTCAAGGACTGAAGCCTCCAATATGGATTGAAGCTCAACATCAAGAAAACAAAGATTCTCAGCACTGAGCCAATTGGCAGCATCAGTATGGATGGTGAAGAGATTGAGATAGTTAACAGTTTTAGTTTGCTTGGTCCCACAATCAATAACAGCAGCTAGGAAATCAAGAGACAAATTGCATTGGGAAAGTCAGCTGTGAGGGACCTCTCCAGAGTACTGAAGAGCAACGATGGCAGGCTGGAGTCTAAGGTGCACCTGATCTGGGCCATAGTCTTTGTAATTGTGTGCTATGCATCAGAGAGCTGGACAGTGACTAGGGATGATAGAAAGAGAATTGATGCTTTTGAGCTGTGGTGTTGGAGAAGAGTGTTGGATATACCATGGACTGCTAGGGGAACAAACAGGGTTGTCCTGGAGAGGGTGAAGCTGGGTTGCTTGTTGGAGTCAAGGATTCTGAAGCTTCGTCTGATATACTTTGGGCATGTTGCAAGGAGGGACCGGTCCTTGGAGAGGGACATCGTGTTCAGGAGGGTGGAGGGACAGCACAAGAGATGAAGATGCTCAATGAGATTAATCGATTTAGTGATCGGAGTAATGGGAGTAGGTGTGTTGCAGACAGTGAGATTGGCACAGGATAGAGCAAGGTTTAGGACTCTTGTACGTAGGGTCACTACAAGTCACAAGTGACTTGATGGCACATAACAACAACAATACCAGCAATTGCATTTGCAGTGGGTGCATCATTTCCAGTTATCTTTGCACATACTGCTATATGTATACTTTGGATTGTTGTTCCCAGGATAAATTCCCAGGAATGTAATAAAGTGTGCAAGGATATGGATAATTTTGGGGTTTTGTGTGTTTTCAGTTAATTTCAACAGGCAGCTCTGTAGTGGGGGTGTGGGCAGCAGTGTACAAGAGAGGAGTAACATTCCAGAATAGAGTTCAAGTGGTGGCTTTATATCAGAACTTAAGACCACCTTACAAACCTCTCATTTGACGATGCTGCCTCTATTGGAGGAGAGAATGGCGCTGGCAGGAATTTGAGTCTGTGATTGAGTAAATGGAATTTTGCTTCACTTTTGTATTTGCTGCTTTTTTCCCTGGGACTGTCAGCAAAACTGAAGACCTTGAAAAGGTGTGTGAGAGGATAACAATGAAAGGAACTCATTTTCATGCTCTGAAATGTCTTTGAGAGAAATAACAGAACATATTCATCTTTTTTTTTTTTTTTGGTTGTATTCTGTGGGTTTTTTTAAAAAAAATACTGGTTTATTTACAAAGTTCGTATACATTGTTTTTCACAGCAGATCTTTCCCATTTCGTCTCCCGCACCTCGCTTCACCCATCTAATTGTGTGACCCTATGATTATCGTTCCCCTCTGCTCCTACCCTCCCCCACCCTTGAATCCTTATACTCATTCTACAATAATGTCTTATATAATATTTATCCTAATGGGATTGAGTTAGTTCACTTAGCATAATGCTCTCCAGTACCTCCCAAATTAGGCAGTAATTTACAAAACCATTGCTCCTGTATGGTGCATTGTATTCCATCATGTGAATGTACCCTACATAATTTCTCAGTTCATTCCATTGTGGTTGGACATTTGGTCTGCTTCCATCTTCTTTTTTAAAAAATTGTGATTTTTTTAAAAATTGAGATTTTAATGAAAGATTATAGAGAACTTGGACTTCCATTCATTCATTGTTGCACATTTGCCTCCCTGCCCACTTCTCCCCCCAGTTCACTTTTTTCTTTGAGAAGAAAAAAAAGATTCATTGTTATGCAGTCTGTCCCTGCCCTGGCCCCTTCCCCCCTCCCCCCCAACCAGTCAACTTTACAAAGCAGCTCTTATTCTGGACTCTTGTCATGCAAATAATACCTAATCATATATCCCTTTTAAACAGTTCTCTCACTCATCTGTTTCAATTCAGAGTACATTATTTATCCCCTCTTTCCTTAGTTTCCCCCCAAACTTGATGTCAGTCCTGTTTTATAGCAGTCGCACCATGCAATATTTGTCCTTTTGTGATTGAGCTATTTCACTCAACATAATGTCCTCCAGGCTCACCCATTTTGTATATTTCATGAGTTCCTTGTTTTTCAATGCTGTGTAGTATTCCATTGTGTGAATATACCACAGTGTCTCTATCCATTTGTTTGCTGATGGCACCTGGGTTTTTTCCAACTCTTTGCTATTGTGAACCAAGCAGCAATAAACATAGGTGTGACAACTTCATCTTTATAAAATACTAAAAGATTTAATTGTTTTAATTACCAATTTCAGGGTGTTTATATTTTGAACAAGTTTAACAATGAAAGGGGACATGACTTAGATCATTATTAAGGGAATCATGATGTTTCGAATTGGTGATTTAATGAACAAATCTTGCTATAAACAACATTTCCACTCTGGATCTTGTGATTGTTTGTAATGGATCTTCCTTTTTCTTTTTTCTTTTCACAGAAAAAATACAGAAAGGGATTTATTGATGTTTCAAAAATCAAGTGTGTGGAAATAGTGAAGAATGATGATGTTGTCATTCCCTGTCAAAATAAATACCCATTTCAGGTGAGTAGACATTTTTCCCCAAGAGAGCAACCTTGGGTGTCCAGTCTTGTTTGGTATTTGACATCACAGACTTTCCAGATATTTCTGTGACAACTGATTTTGAAGTTGATTTCCACTTTATAATAACTGCTATTCTTCATAAATAACTGGTCAGTTAGTTTTACTGGAAACATTAACACAGTCTTTTCTTGGTCTGTTCCTGAGTTTCTCAACCAGTGACTCGGTTTTCTATTATTTTGATACATTGTAGAATAGTTAGCACATGTAGTGAAGCCTGAGGAAGAGCTTTTCTCTGTGAAACTGAGAAGCGGCAATGATGAACTACCTGAATAGAACTGAGACGACATGTTTACTTGTGATGAAATATAGCATCAGCATCATCTATTGACTGAACTTTGGACGTTTAAGAGGTCTATTAGATGATTTCCTTTTCCTCCCTCACATTACTCCTGCTGTACAAGAAAGTAAACACACCACTTCTCATTTATGGCTGAGGAAATTGAGCTTAAGTGTTTTTCCCAAAATTATTTTGTGAATGAAAAACCTTCCTGGTAGGCAAAAACAGTTGTACCAAGGGGATAGTATTTCTGGCAGGAACAAAAAAGGGGGTTACATCATGAAGTAGCCTCCTCCTTAGGAATGCAGGCAATCCAAATCCACACCAATCCTACAGGTCCCTAGGTGGGGTGAGGCTCTGACCTGTCTCAGGAGACTGGGAGCAGTGCTCACCTGAAGGTCACTCGCTCTCTCTTTTTCATTTTTATTGGTTTGCTTACAAAGTTCGTATACATTGTGTTTCATACTATTCCTCATTGACACTGAATTTCATGTATTCTCTTACATTCATTATGTTCCATAAAATTAATCATCTTTGGACCATGCCCACCGTTACCCCATCTCTTCAAGTCCCCACCAAATCTTTCCCACTTTCCCTACCCCCTCCCGCCATTCACCAAATTGTGCAACCTTGTGATTTCACCACTACCCATCTTCACCCCTCCCACACCATATCTCCCGTTGGATCCCTGTACATGTTTTACTAGTCATTCTTCTATTTTTATAATAATGGTCTTATGCAGTCTTTGTCCTTAAGCGATCAAGTTTGTTTACTCAGCAGAGGGCTTTCCAGTCTCTCCTAAGTTATGTAGTATGTTTTTAAATCATTGTTCCTGAGTGCTGCGTAGTATTCCATTGTGTATGAATGTACCACAACATCTCAATCCATTTGGCTGTGGTTGAACATTTTGGTTGTTTTCATATTCTTGTGATGATGAATAATGCTGCTATGAGCATTGATGTACAAATTTTCATTTGTGTCTCAGTTCTAATTTCCTTGGGGTATAATTCTAGCAGTACAATAGCTGGGTCATATGAAGTTTCTATGTCCGATTTTTTTAGGAAACACCAAACTGCCTTCCTGAGCCGTTGTACTATTTTACCAAACTGCCTTCCTGAGCTGTTGTACTATTTTATAATCCCACCAACAGTATATGAGAGCTCCCACCTCTCCATATCTCTAACATTTATTGCTTGCTGCCCTACTAAACTTTGCCTCTGCCACTGGGGTGAGATTGTATCTCATTGTGGTTTTGCTTTACATCATTTGCAAGTAATTTTGAGCATTTCTTCATGTGCCATCGAAAGTCTTCTTCTGTGAAAAGTCTTTACATGTCTTTTGCTCTTTTTATAATTGAGTTATTAATCTTTTTTTTTTCTGGAAGCCCAGTAGTATTCTATACTTTTGTTATGAGACCTTTGTCTGAGATGGTACTACCAAATGGGTTGACTCTCCCCCCTCCAGTTGGTAGGTTTTCTGAGCACATCTAAAACTTCCTCCAGCAGGGTGAAAAGAAACCTACTGACTGGGCTCTCTCTCTTTTTCTGCTGGCAATGAGCAGAAGGTTTAGCTCTATCGCTGACTTCTCACGGGTGTTCCTCCCTCTTCTTTCCTTTTCTCTTGAACTTGGCCTACCTTTCCTATGGCCCATCTTTGTCTTTCACCTACCATGTCTCCTTTGCATTGCTTTAACAAACCTTTTCATTTGTTTTGCTAATTTTTTTTTAAAAAAAACAACAAACAAATAAACCTTCCTGGCACAACCACTCACTTCTCTTCACTCCACCTTAGTAGACTTAAATGGCACCCCAGATCCTCAGCTAAATTTAGACATGCATGCTAACTGAACCCTGATGATATTATAGTTTTCAGCAGATGTACCACTACCAGTGCCCCACTTCAGGCTCTCGCCACCATTTCTCTGGTGAATCATAACTTCTTAAGCTTTTGAGCAATAAATGTGAATAAATATGCCAAATAAAATCAGTTTTTAACTGTGGATGTAACCTCATCATATCCTGAGGCGGAAATTCCAAAATATTTTCTTACATAGCATCTCAATGGAGTTGTTTATTGTTTTTTTTGATTGCTGCTTGAAAGCTACCAATTACAATGTGGAATAAACTTGTACCAGTTTGAAGACAGTGATTTGAAAGGAGGAAAGAAAGAAAGAAAAGACCAAATAGATCTCAGAAGAGACTCTGAAATTTTTTCTTGAAGACAGAGTACCTAAAAATAAAGCAAGAAATGTTGAGGTAAGAAACAGAAGATTTCAAAGGGCATTTAAGCTCAATTAATAAAAGAATGTGGACCAAGGAGTAGCAATGCTGGTGCCAGGTGGATCTTTGCTGAAACAAAGAATATCAGAAATATTATTACTTGTGTTTTACTGACTAAAGATAGTCTACTGTGTGGATCATAACAAATTATAGATGCTATTATGAAGAATGGGTATTTCAGTACACTTAACTATATTTATGAGGAACCTGGACAAAGATCAAAGATTCTGCCATTCAGAACAAGAAGATACTGCATAGTTTAAAATCAAGAACTCTTTGTGTGTCAGGGTTGTATCCTTTCTCCACACCTAGTCAGTCCATACCTATTTGTTCTATACACTGAGGAAATAATCTAAAATGCTGAACTATATGAAGAATAATGTGGTGTTCATATAGGAGAAAAACTTATCAACAACTTCTGTTATGCAGATGACACAAACTTGTGTCCTTAAAGTGAAGTGTATTGTATACTCATTGAAGAAGACCAAACAATACAGCCTTGAAAATCAGTTATACTTTGACATAAAGAAAACAAATCCTCACAACTAGACCAACAGGAAATATCTTGATAAATGGAGAGAAGATTGATATTGTGTAGAATTTCATTTTAATTGGATACACAATCAACGTCGTGGAAGCAGCAGTCACAATACATTACACAATTATGCCATCAAGGACCACTTGAAAGTGTTAACGAGCAAGAATGTAATTTTAAAGACTAAAGTGCATCTGACCCAAGCCATGGTATTTTCCTTTGTTTCATATATGTGTGTGAAAGTTGGGCAGTGAATAAGGAAGACTGAAGAAGAATCAATGTCTTTGGGTTATTGTATTGGAGAAGTATATTGAATATACTTTGGATGGTCAAAAGAAATAGCAAATCTGTCTGAAAGGAAGTACTTCTAGAAGCAAAGATCATTTCTTCATGTGCTTGTTGGCCATCTGAATGTCTTCTTTGGTGAAGTATCTGTTCATATCCTGTGCCCATTTTTCAATTGGATGATTTACCTTTATCTTGTTGTGGTGCTCAAGTACTTTATAAATTCTGGATATAAGTCCCTTATATGATAGGTCATTGCCAAATACTTTTTTCCCAGTCGGTGGCTTCCCTCTTTACCCTGTTGGAGAAGTTTTTGGATGTGCATAGGGATTTGATTCTTAGAAGGTCCCATTCATCTATTTTATCTTCTCCTGG